AAATCTATACATGTTTTAAAACAACAGCTAGAACCAGATGTGTCACTTTGCACAATACACAACAATAATAAAAGTCGATCACTGATCTTTCTGTTTAACACGTGTCAAAAATACTAAGGAGAAAGCGTCCCTTAAAAATTTAATTTTACGAACTATTGTCATTCGTTTGACGTCATTTATTGTACATTTTTGGTTATCGCCATCTTTCATTCATTTCATTTTACATGTAGAAAATTATTTATTCACTTGACATTGGCAGAATTGTGCGAAATGCGCAGATAAGCCATTGATGAAAGAAGAAGTAGAGTTTGACGTTAATTTTATGAAAAATTTGAAAGCTTATAAAATATTGAAGCCATTTTTAAAACTTGTGCTTTTACATAAGTTAATAAATAGAATAAAGGCTTTTGGTGATATTTAAAACCTTACTTATCTTTTGGCATAGGTAATATTAATATTAATTTATTCCAAAACAAGTAATTCAAGATCTACGAGATCTACCAACAATATACTGACTGTATAAAATAAACTGTTGCATCACTCATAATAAACTCAATTGGTTGGCATGACTCCCTTTAATTGGTCACAATGAGACCGTTCAATACCCCTAAACGGACAGACGCAGTGGCACTACCTCGTCTATTAATTCTCTAAATAACAACGACCTTCTTAATTCGTCGAGGTTATACTGAGATTTGACCGTCAATAGATATTGATAGAACCAAAAAGATCTTTGTTGATTTCTATGCAAGTAATTTTACACCATAAAGTTTATTCTGGTTCATAGTAGTTATTATGGTTGCTGAAAAAAAAAATGCTATTATGCCAAAGATGTTATAAGAACAAAAGGTGATTGTTTACAACAGTGTATTTTTGAATAGAGTTCAATGCTCTTGATAACATTTATAATTGCCTACCTAACTGAAATTTTGTAACATAGAATTGTTTAAATAGGACTTAAAAAAGTAGTATTTGGGACTTGAAGAAATAAAAGTAATTAAGTAGGTACTGAATATAAAATCATACAGATACTTGTGTAGTAAGCCTTAAGAGTGGTTAAATCCTCTAAAAGCCTTAGGTAGTTGCACATGAATATCCACTTAAAAGTTTAATTATCAAAAAGCATTAAAGAAAGATCATTACCTATCAAAGTCACCGACAAAGAGAGTGAGATCTAAACCAACTTTTGGGACAAGGGAAATCCAGTTTTGGATATAGGGCTGTTCCCTTCTCTTTCACTTCTGGCGATCTTGTGCTCGGCAATTATTATTTATGATTGATTTTTAAACAGTTACTGTTCGTGATTTACTAACACTTTGATTAATTTTTCAATGTTAAATTAAATAACAAAATTGTATATAGTGACTGTTCAATTATTTATAGTCGAAATTCTATACAAATTACCTCCTTAAAAACGTCAAAGCTCACTGGAACATTAGGTAAACCAAAGAATAACAATAAACTTTTGGTAAACTTATTACGTCAATTAATTAAACGTAAAGAGCATTACGCATCCCGGCGTACAATTTAAAACGGCTTAAAATAAAATTGTTTTTACATTCTTAAATGGAAAATTGTCTAACAAATTGTACAAGTGTACCAACAATATTTCCACCTACAATTTAAACTGGTCGTAAAACGCAAACATGGACAGACTGAAAAACATATGTCCAGGGGCAACGACCACTCCGTCGAATCTTTACCGTATCTATAGTCAAGAGAAGTTATTTAGTTTCTTCAGAATATGTCATAACTTAAGCAGATATAATATATTTATATCTTATATTTTTACGTGCACTATCCATAAATTAAACAACTTTTGTATTTAGCGTTTCTATTCAGTTTTATTGACGATTCTAACCCTTTACAGGTTTCGTGTTCACATTTGACTAAGGTGTTTATTGTCTTTAAATTAAGAGTATAGCCACCTTCAAAATATTTACATTTATTAAATTAAATTATTTGAATAATACATTTGACTTATTTATTTACCCCTGGCTACCGTAATCTACCACAGTTATATTATAATTTCATTTTTGAATTCACGGTGCTTAATTGGAAAATACTCTTAACGAAAAATGTTAAAAAAAATCCAGCAGCCCAGGTAAACCGAGATGGGAATCGAAATCACGACTTTTCACAATCCGGGCGACTACTCTAACCACTGAGTTACCCAGGACCTAACAGAACTGAACAATTTTTCAAGCTCTTGTTACATTCACTGCTAGTGAGCGTATTTTCAATGTTCAGGGAATCCACGCAAACAGCCGAAAGAAAAATTTTACAAATATTTTAGACTTTCTATTAAGATGAAAATTAAGATTGCTGAAGGTTGTGAGTACGAGTCCCATATTTCAGAGCACCTGGAGCTAGTGGTTTTTACTAAGCAGATATTTACCAAATAAACAAGAATTTGAATGAAGTAAGGAATGTAAATACGAGTATTAATAACAATTAGTTTCAATAGTGTTTACTTTGATTTCTCAAGTATAATAGAGAATATCGTATTCTAAATAATGGACTTCAGGACCCATTCAAGAGTTGCTTGAGTTAGATATATTTTACTTTTTGTTACGGTATTATCAAAACTGGAAACGTAATGAACAACTGAGAAGTGGCCAATAAGTGTCAGGCGTCACTGAAAAGTTTATCAAATCTGTCAAATGTTTTTTCCTCAATTTTATTTATATAGTTGGTATGTGACCATAAGTGGTTTGTCCCTTTTAATTCTTAAGGGCTTCCATTTGTCTTCAATTGGCAGTTGGGTCGACATTTTCTCAAATTTATTGGTATAACTTATACTTAAACGTCACATAACTTTGATATTTTATAGTTAGTCAATGGAAATTTTGTAAACGTTTTTATTTTTGTGCATTCAAAATCTATAAAAAACGACAAAATTATTTGAAATATAATACTAATTGGGTTCTTAAAAATACTTTACCTTAACACTTAAGGTGCTACACTTTATTTTGAATACATTTCAAATCTACTCCAAATTGTTTTAGGAAAATACTCACTGAGAAGGTACAAAATATCAATTTGAATTCTTACGAATTCTTCGTTGTTTTTTAAGAATCGTAAATGAATAATTTAACGAATAATTATAAATATGAATGAATGAATGATTAATTTTATTGTACACCATAATTAAATTAAAGGATAAATATATGAGCATAACATATTACATTGCTCCAAATTAAAATTATGTAACCAGATAACTAAATATTGCATGTTATGACATCTGAAAATAATGAAATTAATCACATCCAGATTTTATACATTCATCATTAGCGCTTAACTAATACTTTCTATCTTTCTAACAGGTAACAGACTGCAAATACAGCCGGGACCAACGGCTCAACGTGCCTTTTAATTTATACGTTTTATATAAATAAATATCCGTAAACTATATTTCCAAGACCATTATCGAACTAAGGAGCTCAGTGTTGAAATGGGTACGCCACGAAAGGCGTGTAAACAATTCCACTAATAAATCCCCATCCACACGGTATTGGTGCACCCTATCCTCGATTTTGACCTTTACTACCACCTTTATTAACACTTTTTTGGAGTAAGTTTTATTTGATTGCACCTCTATGGTGTCTTAGCGCTGTAGCCGATGGCATATCAATGCTGACTTTATTACAGAATAGTATTACTGCACGTTTTCTGTATGACAATTCTACCGAGCAACCTTTTATACTATATCAATCAATAATAAATATATCTGACACAGTGGATTAGTGAAGAAGACATTGCACTAACAATATTGGACTACAGGTTGATAGTACAATGGCAAATGCAAGTAGTTAAGGTTCTATTGAGATCCAATTATTACGTAAAAATAACTAGAATTTAGGCCCTAAACTTTTTTGTAGATGCGTTTTAACTACATGTCAATAATTTTTACACAGTAACAATGTATATGCTACTAAATATCCGTAAAACAAAAAAAAAAAGGTCCAGGAAATGTGCGAAACAAGCTTTATGCCATCATTTGTCCGTATTTATTTCATATCAAGCACATCGATGTCGTCTCGTAAACTTAAATCTTTTAACCCGATATTAAGACCACTCATGAAGACAAAGAGTAACATAAACATGCCAGACATTATGCTAGAAATGCCCTATTACTAGCATAATGTCTGGCATGTTTATATATATATATATATGTTATACTATCGTATTACACCATAATTATAAAATTTGTCATTTCCAACTCTTAATTACAAAGTGACTAACATATTTATCAATTTATCCTTTAATAAACGTAAAGTTACGAAAACAAATCTTCTAAATGGTTAATTTAAAGGTAAATTAACGAACGTATGTCTGTCTGCTCGTCCGATCATCTATAACAGCTGATTGTTTTTAAACTACACGACCGATTAAGTATAAATTTGGTATACATACGTAAGAATTAAAACTCATGTAAGGTAAATGAATCTTCGATTTGAGTTATTCTCTCCTCTAACTATATCCACTGTTTTTTTTTTTATTATTGGAACTGTGTAACAAGGATTCAGTAACAAACCAAAGTTTCTAAGTTCCTTTTGTCGCAACATAAATTGCGCGTACGCGGGGCGTGCGATGCCATGGTAGGGGGGCGAACGAAAATATTGCTCTCCGAGGAGTCCCGGCTCGGTCGGGTGCGCCCACATGTGCAACAGTGCTGTGATTAGTCGATATATTAAAATATCGATAAAAAGAATGCTTAAATTGGGATATGTGTACCACAATCGATCTCTTTACTAAATTTGAAAAACTATAATTTTTACATAGGTTTATTTATTTGTTGATAATATATAAATAAATATTGATATGTTTTCCAAAAGGTAGGCAAACAAAGATATTAACGCTAATATGTAGAGTAATACAAGTATGTTTTTTTTTTCACCATTAGATCCCTACAAATTATTTTTATCGATATTTCAATTAATTAAAATGCAGCGCGACGCCCCTAAACCCTACATCTCCCATCTTAAGGAGCGGCAGCTAGTCACAGTGTAACCGGCGCGCGCGCATCCCGTTCAACAGGCGCGGTCCAAAAATACCAACCAGGCCGCGCTGCCATGCGCTGACCGTGTACAAACAAAAGATCACTTTAAATTTCGAACGCGTTACCATTATAATAAAGAGAAATTCAATCAACGAAACCGAAAGCACGATTCCGAAGTTCAAATATAGAACGCGTGACATTATAACGAAACACCCAAAGTCGATTTACGTATCGTTCTGATTAGATACCGTTTTTGAGTGGTGTGCGAAACTGTTCTAATGCTGCGATGTCGCCAACGGCCATCGGTGCCGACCTGCCGCAATGGTGCGGCAAGACTGAAGGATGCCCTCAAGCCCTGCTTGGCTGGCTGTACCTGAAACACGACCAGAATGAGGTGAGCCCAAAATAAATACTACGTTTCCGGAAGTGATTGAGAATGTTTGAATTTTTTAAATTATTATAAAATTATTCAACTGGCGTTATTAAAGCAGCACTTGGCACCGTAATCCATAATTTGTAACACTAGGAATGCCAATTCATATACTTATTTTTATAATAATAATTAAAATTTAATTTACATATCATAAATTAATAATACATTTACATACATAACATCAGAGAACCATTTTATAGACATCATTCGTGAGTTATATAGAGTGTAAAATATGTGATACCGGCCGTAGTTCGGTACATAAACTCTATTTTTACCGAATCCAGAGAGTAACGTACTTTCCATGCTCGCATTGTATTTAGTAGTTAGATTTTCCAGCAGTAAGACTTACAAAACTTACTGTTGGAAAATCTAACTACACTTACTGTTGGAAAATTTAGAAAATATTGGTGTTATGATATACGAATTATGAGTAATAAATAACTGTTATTGGATTTATTTGAAAATATGCATTTTAAAATATCCTGCGAGTACTGTAAAAGAGACTACGCATTAATTTGAAATCTGTGTTCGTTTAGGATCCCAAGCACAATATAATAAATTAACTAGCTGTTTTCCCGCGACTTCGCACGGATAAATTGTAGCCTATGTCACCCAGTATGATGTAGCTACCCGTAATGGATTTTTTTTTTAAATCGGTCCATGTTCTTCAGAGCCTATTCGATGCAAACAAATTAACAATCAAATCTTTCCTCTTTATAGTATTAGCATACATAACACCAAAGTACTACCGATAATATCTGTGGCGTAAAGATTTGTTAAATTTCAGCATTGCAGTTTTATAACAAAAACCATATCTATATCTTTTTTTATAAACTGTTGGATATTCGATCAATTTTCAAATAATTAGCATTCCGAACTTCTTCATCTTCACCTTAAATCTTTACTTTTACCAATTTCATTCTCCTCTGCGGAATTTTAGTAAAAACCCGTTCCAAGGTTTGCTTCACGTATTTGCGTATCTGTTAAGATCTTTATATACCGAAAATATAATTCGTTGAGAATTCCTATAAACTATTTCTTCTCTTTGACTGACTTATCTGCGCATTTCGCAAAATTCTGCCAATGTCAAGTGAATAAATTAATTTCTACATGTTAAATGAAATCTTCTTCTTCTTATTCACATTAATGGCACTTTGCGTCACCACAATACTGCCAACTTCACGTACACACTACATACGATTTAAATACATTCATTCAACCAAACAATTTTGAATTACCAATTCTATCTTTCTACATGGATTTACCAAAAACAACACGTTAAACGAATCTCCTATAAACGCACTATATTAAAATCCCTGTCACTGTCACTTTGACATCAAATTAATGTCAAGAAAATTTTAAAGCTTCGTCTGCATTCCAAATAATGTCTTTAAAGAATAAATCATATTGTAACAATTCAGCGTAATAGAAGCTGTATAGTTTAATAGTTGCATAACAATATTACTAAATATCTACAAAAAAAAAGGTATTGGAAATTCACGGTTATCATTCCTGAATTAGGAGAATCTTACGAAATAATTCAGGCAAGTGTAACTTATCAAATCAGTAATCAGGATAGGGTATGGCAGCTAATTAGTATATACTGCTTATACAAATAAGAAGTATTATGATGTTAATTCGCATATGTATGTTTTTAATTTTTTATCGAAAAGGCTCCTCCTTTTTGATTTTGTTATATGTTCGACGGCGGTGTATGTTTTTTATGTATTTAAGAGATTTTTCCGCCAATTATCGATCGATTTTCAAAATTCCTTTTTGTTCGACAGCTTAATGGACTGAGATTGTCCCATTTAAATTTAATATCGCAATCGAATCAGTAGTTTTCTTTTCATAGCAAAACATAGTACTTATGCTTTTCATCAGATAACACCTAAATATTTTGTTGACATGTTTATATCACCTAAAAAACAAAAGATTGCGTATTTTGCATTACTGCTATTGAAGTCGGCGTCTATCACTTTATTAAAAAAACCTCCACAAAGACATTGGAATTGTGATTTGATTGGAGTTGTGACTTTTTATGGGCGTCGCATAAAATCACAACAAAATAAAAGACTAATATATGTACACCGATGAAAGGGTATAATTTTTCCAATGGCAAAAGAAACACCTTAGGTACTGCTGGTCTGAAAATCTTGTTCTTTTAAATACCGCGGAAATTTTCAGGTACTATATATTTTTATAAGGTACAAATAATTAGTACAAACTAAATTTTTTTGTCCTTTTTTTTAATTTTTTTGCCCTTAAATACGAGCGCCCTAGGCAGTTGCCTAGTTTGCCTGTATGGACCAGCCGGCTCTTTTGCAGGGATTTAGTGCGTTCAACCAAACAAATAAATTCTTTAGTTTAATTATATTATAGATATATGCGCGGAATAGTTGAAAGGTAGATCTGAAATCTCTTCGCGCTGACCCCAGGGTTCACCCATATGAATGCCTGCATTGTTTTATATTACGCACAACTTTTAGTTTCGATAAGGCAGTTCTCGTAAATCGGGTCACAAGTCATTGTTAGTTGTTTAAAATACACGTTCTTATCCCGTACGAGCAAAGCTTTAGCTTTACAATATCGTTTGATATTGTAATAATGTTTTAGTATTTGGTATCATGTTCAGTGTATATACCACCCATGAAACAATAATTCTATAAACATTTCTATATGCAAATAGAGACAACTGCTTTCTTATAGTTGATTTCACAAAATAAATAAAAATCATATCAGGCGTCATGTTACGCGGATTGGGTGTTTTATTGGCATACAAATTGGCATATTATATTATTGTTTTAATTTAAAAGTCAATTTTCTACTTCTATTACACAAATCATCATCAACAGCCGTACGACGGCCACTGTTGAGCATAAGCCTTCGTCTTAGATCTCTACGACGATAGGTTCTGCTCTGCTCACAATCTTTATAAGATCGTCGGTCCACCTGGAAAAGGTCTGACACGTGGTCGCTCGATTAGTACGTCGTTATAGCTTACCAAGGTTAAAAACATTTCTAAAAAAGCATTTCTAGAGGACAATTTTTTTTATGTCTGTGACCAACGAGTCAGAAAAGTCAAGAAATTCAGCAAGGGCTGCTTTTTCATACCTATTTTATTACATACAGAGATGTCAACATTGAAAAATGACTTCATTAGAATATGAAGTCACTTTCTATCACAATATTAGAAAATATCAAAAAGAAATTATTTATAAAAAAATATAAAAACAAATATTCGTAATGGATTCCGGAGACGATCAAGTGGCTTGACAAATCTTACGTTATTGAAGGTTTTACTTGGTTGGTGACTTGATGCCCATCGAAGGATCTGTCAAATGCGCGCCTCAAGTCGGTGAGTGAACTCGGGAATCGAAACTGGACTTTTGAAAAATAAAACTTATGTACATAATTTATATATATAATTAATTTCTACTTAGATGCCGAGTTTTTAGGTCTAATGCAGTTAATGTTACTATGAGATATGATGCCCAAAATTAAACTACTAACTATTAACTAGATAGATACAATTTTACGCATCAAAATGAGTTGAGTGTTGTATTGAAAAAAAAATGACTGTCATTTTGAACACCTAGTCACTAAAATAAATTAAGAGGTATGATATGATTGAAAACAATACAATTTATTCATTTTGGACGTCACGTTTAATGGTAACATTAACTACTTAAGACCTACACAATCGGTACCTATGCCTAAATAATGCATTTCCAATAATAGTAAAATTAATCAAAACCCCCGGGATCAATATCTAAATTGAGAACTAAATTTGATTGATGTGTAAATGCAGTTTTTCTTTTCACCAAAAATGGATGACATGGTTCCTAGATATAGATTTGTATATTTCCCATACTTACTGTTCATAATGTTACAACCTGCATATATAGGGAAAAGAGCCCACTCTGACATTTTTTTTTGTCATACTGTTTGTGGAAGTTGACAGATATAAGTTTACTAAGTAAGCTGTTGAATGGCCTTAGTGTCATATTTATTAATACAAGTTGATATGATTACATTTTCCATTTTTCCATTCAGAAAATAAAAAATGAAATAAGATATGTATGCATATAAATATTTATTTTAATATCACTAGGATTAATGCCGATATACAAACATATGTTATTCTATCTGTTCTTCTATCAAACTTTTATACTTTATTCAAAATGCAACATACAATTTTACTACACTAATTTGACGAGTAAGTCTTTAACTTTTACGCAATAAGTATCACAATTATCTTGAGATAGCGTTTCTATTTTTGAAATATTTATTATATTTTAACGATTTTCTATATCTGCGCCTATTTCCTGTTTATCGTCTGCAATCTTAGTGTTGAATGATAAAAGCTATTCTTGAAATTTTTGTCCAAAACCGTCAAGTCGCGTCAAGCCTATTCGTTAAAAGTAGTGTTTAATCACTCTTGCGTAAAGGAGTTTGTGAACGCAAGCCTTGGATCAACAATACAACTAGATAAGACCTCGCATACTGAAACCATAGAGTAAGTAAGAAAATACCGTAAAACAATACTCAAATATGGCACCATACACTGCGACAAGCAAGGAACATAATAACCACAGAGTATATTCTGTGATAATACTCTAAGCGACAACTGAGCTCCGGAAATTGGTAAGTATTATTAATTTTATTTTTCTTTTGCAAAATATATATAAAATCAAATAAGACCGCGCTTTGAAGTGGGGCCTTTTCTTCGGCCATTTTTGAGAATCTGACTGGGCATCTAGTCGTATTGTTGATCGAAAGTGTAAACGTATCAACTGCCGTCAGCAAAAAGTAAAGTATTTAAGGCCGTGAAATATAATAAAAACCTTTATGGCCGTCAATCAAAATTTCTGTCAATTGCGATCAAGCCGTAAACCGCTTGACGGTAGCATTAAGTCAACGCGGTAAACAGTCACTATTTGCTTCAATCACGTAGACTTGACAAGTCGACTCGATCCATAAGTAAAATACTCACGAACAAAGAAAGAATAGACATATTAATTCTTTTTAAAAAGAAGAACTTTTTGTTTTTGAAAATGGAACTAAAAGTGGTGATCTCGGCGATTCAGCAGAATTCTTGTATTGCATTGTAAAAAAGAATAAATTAGTAATAGCGCGAAATCTTAACAATTTTCTATATTTACATAAAGATTTCTATACATAGAAGTCTTTGCTAATTCAAAATTGAATTTGTGACCGTTATTTATTATTTGCAAAAGAAGCGAATACCAACATTACTTTATTACCAACATTACATCTATTTACTATATGTTCTATTTATAGAAACAATTTAAATCAGGAACACCTTAGAATTAAATCAATGTTCTTAAATAATTAAATTTGCATGAGTCATATAGTGCAATGATAGGTATCATCTGAGTGATGATTTTATTTTTAAATTACTTCAAAGAAGGTGGCTCGACTGTTTTTTTAGATTCTCTTTTTAGATTTTTTAGTTTTGTATGTTTTTTTAGTGTGTTTGTTACGCGATTACTCCGCCAATTATGAAACAATTTACAAAATTCTTCTGGCGGTTATTAATTTAAGAAACTACAGAAAACCTCAGCCAACCTCAAAGAGACCTCAAATACTCTTGAATATTTTAACCACATTTAAGATAAGTATTATTTTCACTTTTTTTAAATTTTAAATTCCTTTTGTATTTCCTTTTTTTATAATAATTTTGTTTTATAACTCTTCATTGGGCATTACTTGCTTATGTGGGGGAGGCCCTGGTGACCCGTGTAACCGGTATCTTTCGGAAACCTATAGCAGGCACCAGCTTTTCACACTGGAGTAATGTATAGTCCTAATCATAGCATATATAAAACATACTGTTCAACTTTGTGTGAAAGGAAAAAAATAAATTATATTATTATTAATTTGAACTCTTATATTTTTTGCAAATGGTTTTTATTCTCTTAATGGTAAATGCTTAAAAAATTCCACTTTGTCCCTGACACTGTGAGATGGGATTCGAGGTGGGATTCGCCCGGATTGCGAAAGGTCATCTTCCGCAATCCGAGCGACTGCTCTAACCACTGAACTACGCAGGACCTAACAGGACTGATGAATTTTTCAAGCACTTGTTACTTTTTCGCTACTACAGGATTTATTCATTTAATTGTATTACGAAAAATTAGAGTTCTTAACTAAGACCCAATATCGTTATAGAAAATTAAAATTTACTTTTATATCAAGAAACGTAATGTATAATCAGTTGAGCAAATAAAGTACTAATCTTAGAAAATACAATGCAAACCACAATCTAGTCGTTAAGCGCTTAATTTACACTGCATAACAACATGTTAAAAACGTGAATATTAGGATAAAAACCTAATTATTTTATTGAAAACTATGTCACCTGCGTACTTTATTTATTTTATTTGGATAACCAAAAAGAACATACACCTTACATGCTTAAGTCTACAAAATTTATTAGTTTGCGTTTATTTGGTGATGTCTTAATTATGATTGCCTCAAAAAAGTATGATTAAAATACCTTCCAGTATGCAAACAATCATTTTTTTTTTCATTATAATATTAATACAGATTAGCGGTACTTAATTATAATAAAAATAAAAAACTGCAGTGATTGCAAAATTACCCTTTGTAGGTATTTTGAATACTGTCAAATATCGGTAGACACGGCAATATAAAACCCATTCTGTTTGACGACATTTATGACTTGTACGGGATGACAAGGAAGTTACGTGTTCGTGTTTTTATCACGCTTCCTGATTAATATGTTAAAATGTATGAAAAACATGGAGACAGATTTCTGAAACATAACATATACAAATGCAGACAGAATTCCGAAATAAACTTCTTTTTTTTTAATATTAGCGTCAAGGGTTACATATGATTAGAAAATGTATTTTTAAATTTGTTTATTGTTTCAATTTCTTTTTATCTAAATTAAAGCTGCTGCTAAGGATAACTGTGTATATTATTCTATTAATATCCTATTAATATTATTAATGTGAAAGTTTCTTTGTTTGGATGTTTAGATGTTTGTCGGTCAATCACGCCAAAACTACTGAACGGATTTTGATGAAATTTTGTATACAGATAGGATGTTAGCTGACTTAGACAATAGGATACTTTTTATCCTACTAAACATTTCCGTAGGGTCCACGCGGGCGAAACCGGTGGCGAAAGCTAGTACATATATAATATTGAAACAAAAAGGCGAGTAGAACCAATATTTTAAGCACACTCATACATACCTTCCTTTTTATATCTATAAAAGTTGTACCGAAACATACACATTCGAATTCGCGGCCAGATACTACTTCAATATAAATTCTCCAATAGCTTATAAGTATGTATATATATATATATATTATGAGCAAAAATTATGTGGAATTGCAACGGACTCGTAATCTCAGTCGATTAACATGAGCGAACGCCTAAAATACTCAGTACTCCGCCCACACTTTGACAAAATGTTTTAAATATAGACCATTTATACTCACACAGCGTATTTTATAATTACAAAGATTATAAAGTGTGAAAGGAAGAGCTCGAAGACGCATTAGTTAGCGCATTCAGTCTGCGATGCACAAGTGCCGGTCGTATAGGATGGGTTACCAACATTTTTTATTTCGAGTCTCAGTTCATATTTTACTGTATCTTCTAGACAACCAATAGCTGACATATTCCATGCCTATTAGTTTAAATTATTTCTCTTCTTTTGGAGCACAGTATCGAAATAATTTTATGCACAAAAGGAATGAACTTTATATAAGTAGTCTATATAATATTATATGTCATAGCTTGATTATTTACACAGAATTAAAAAACATTCCCAATTTACAATTCATATTTCATTAAAAATAAATCTTATCCGAAAGCAATAGAGTTAACATTTCAACAATTAATGTGTTTCGTTATGATTCATAGCGTCAACGCAAACACATAGAATTAGGCCGCAAATAGGGTATCCATGATTCTTTAGAACAATAATATATAGCAGCTGATGTTGACTGAGTCACTTGATCTTGATTGCATACGGCTTATTTCAAGAATGCTGCTACTGCAGCTTATTTAATCTTAATTTATTAAAATCATAATAAAATGTTCATAAACGTTTATGAACATTATAATGCTCAATTTTTGATACAACAATATTAAATTAATATTTAAGTGTTAATAAAATAATAAATAAAACCTCTATAATACTCGTAGTTTTCATTAAAATTAATTTGAGTCCGAGTTTGTTCCGATGTAATGGAGTAACCCTAGCGCTCGGTGGTAATTCGATGACCAGATGCGCGGGCGCACTTCGAAAGACCAATGAGTGTGAACTTCTTTATTGGTCGCAATTTTTTTTTGTTTTATGATCTTGTAGATATAAATGTGACGCTTCGGTTTAAATCAAGGTAACATGACTATTGTAACGGAAGTTTTACGCATGGTAGAATACAAATATTATTTTTAATTAAATTGAATTAGAAATTCAAATGCTAAAGGATTCTGAACTGTAAAATTAAACAACCTCAATATAAATTATATGTTATGTTTGTAATGTTTATTAATAAAGGATAAATTTAAAGACATTAATTACAATCGACAAACCATACTCTTTTGTTTAGTAAGTTATTGTCGATTAGAGATCGCTGCTAAGCAATTAGGCCATTTGTTTCTACAACCCTTGTATAGATCTAAAGTCTATTCTATTCTATTACTTTCCTTTACATATTAATTAATCTACTAGTTATATTAACAACTTGCCCTTATTATAATTCCCCCTGATTGGCATTATTTCTTCAAACTGGTATCAACTCATTGTATAAAAAAAAATTAAAATCAGAAAGGAAAACATGTTTAAGTGGCGTTTAAGATGGTTTAAGTATAGTTTAAAACGTGCTTAACTTTAAATTCTCAATTCAAAAACCGGGTGTTAGTCACCCAAAACCTTTCTCGTAAATATTCTAGCCTTCGGTGAAAACTGCACGAAAATCTAATAAAACCCGTAATAATTTATTTTTACTATAGTTTAATGTATTCAAACAAACGAACGCTACAGGGAGTTTTCATTTTATAACATGTAAAGGATTAATGTGAAACTGAAAGTGTTACATGGTTACATGTATTTTTCAAGAACAAAATAGAACAATTGATATATCTTTACCAATTATTCTCTTTAAAGCTGTCCTAATGTACTAAAACTAACTAATTTGGTTGCAAGTGATTGCAACCAAATAAATTAGTTTTAGTACTATAAAGCAACAACACTAATGAGTTAAAATAATTTTTCAGTGGGTGCCAGGGTCAGTTTGGGGCCCCTTGCCGACAGCTGCAACAGGGTCCACGGCACCACCCGCGGATGATGCTAGTTCCCTGGCTGAACAACTGACTGCACTATCGCTAAGGCGACCACCTCGTCCTCCACCTCCAGCGTATATGTGCCACCTATGCTTTAAGAAGGGTCATTACATTGGAGACTGTCCACAGGTAAGAAGCTGGTGCTCAGGCCTTCTTAATGGAATTGAGTGGGGAGAATGGTGCATGACCCACCTATATAATAAAAACGACTGTGCCTTCTGAAGCACGGAGGAGCTCGTGATAATAAATGTTTGGTCAACCATCCTATAACTGGCCATTGCCAAAGTTGCTTAATAACCGTATCGCAGACCGAGCGCACTAACCACTGCGCCATTCAAAAAGGTTAAAGTACAGCATATTTATAGCTAATTTAGTTTAGGACACAGTTTCGGATATAGTGTTCATGTGAGACTATGTCCGAAACTGAATTATTTCTGACTTATTCAAGTTTTAAGCTTTGTAATGGAAAATCCCACTTTTGAAGTTAAAACGTACCCTTGTAGTAAATTATACGGGGTTTTGTTTATTTATTTCTGATAGGGAAACGAACAAAGACTCATACTGTTACCATACTTCCCTATCTGAAAAGTGAAAAAATATGCTGAAAAGCATCGCTATTTTTAATTTACAGCTATTTTAAGAACCAATTGTTGTGTCATCAATGAAAACATGTTTTGTATGAATATACAAGATTTTACCAAAAATATGTATGAGATGTTTTGTACAAATTACTGAATTAACTTTTGATTGACTTCCTTAGTTCATTAGCTACTTAAATTCAAAGTCAGAAATTAATAATAACTTATGACTTATCATTTTTCATTGATGAACATGAAATAACATTATATCAATTGTTGCTCAACATGTGAGCCCTATTTACTAATGCTAATCCAAAGTATTATTCTGACTTCCGTTTTTGTAATCAGATATAGTCGATTTTTTTGTGCTGCCCTTAGAATATTCTCGTGGAGCTGTTTCTAGGTGTTGACGGAGATGGCATAGACCAAATCCTTCATATTACTTCATTGGATTGGACGCGCGGTTTTATTCGATGAGCAATAAGGAGCCTCGATCTAACACCATGTGATTTCTATCTATGGGGTCATATGTCAGTATTCAATAATCTGTACATTATTTCTTAAAAATTATAAAATTTATATATTTTTTTAAAAGATTCTAATAATAAGGTACATATTTAACTTGATAACTCGCATAATATAACGTGTCCATCAGTTCTGGATTAAACAATTCCTTGGGGTATCACATCTAGACTGGCAGTTGGCACTATAAATAGCACCAAAATAAAAATTAGCACAATGGTTGTTTTTAACAATCAGTGAACTTTCCTCTGCGTATCTCTTTTGACCTTCATGTACATCCTTATATATATATAGGTACGTAGTGTTCTATATATTTCTATCTCTCCATATAAAATATGTATTTTTAATAATAATAATATTCTTTATTGCACAAAAGTTTGGACACATTGCAAAGAAAGTAATATTATCGACAGTATACAAATGGCGGCCTTATTGCTATACAGCAATCTCTTTCAGGCAACCAATGGTGATAAAGAAATACAAAAGATAATGTCCAATAACCTAAGTAATATTGAATTAAATAAGTAAATAAATAGATATGTCTAAAGAGGTAAATAGATATATTAGTACGCAATAAAAGAAAGTATAAGTTAATGAGTTACAAGTTGGAGAGAAATAGTTAGTTCTTCACTTCTGCAATGAAGGATTTCAAAGTGCGAGCCTTCCTGATAGTTTTCGGTAGCGAGTTCCACAACCGAATAACGAAAAGAAATCGGATAGAAATTCGAAACTGTGCAGAGAGAAATTAAGAGTCAGGTTGGAAGCAAAGAGCAAGATAGTGATAACACTAAAACAGTGATGAGGAAGAAAATGAAAATAATTATTTTTGTTAAAGCGGTGGCGTAGGCAGGAAAAGACTAGAATAGAGAAGGTTAAAGTGTGCAAGTCCCTGAGCCGGCTGATAAGGAGTCAATTAAGTTTGGAACAGAAATATGATGCGTGGTCATATTTGCGAAGGTTAAAGATAAAGTTTAAATACATATTCTGCTGACACTCTAACTTGTTAACATCGATACTCATTATATTTATCTATACAGATAAATATCTCAGCGTGTCTGGGACTGGCGGAATTTTTAAGCATTATTAAAGACACGGTTTGCTTAAGGCATTAAATAACCTTAATCCAACACTGGTGTATAACGTTGAGCTACTGACTTACAAAAGTGTATCAATTTCCAACTCAACCGGGCTAGTACTAACGGATAAACAGACAAACTGATGAACAGACAGGTTGTCTGACGGACATACGAACAGACCGATGAGTGAGCAAACGTATAAATTTTTCCGTTTTATTCCGTTTGAAGCACAGAACCCTAATAACGTTAAAAACACTTCCATAAAATATTTTCTCAAGCTACTCTCATTGTAAAGATAACAGTGGGCTTACGCCCCATCGTACCGCGTTCCGAGAACATGGGATGTGCCGCAGCTATTATTTCACCAACACGTAAACACTTTGACAGCGGACTGAAACAAAACAATGATCTGATTTCTAGCTAAGAAATCTAACACCAAGAACATACAACGAGATCAGCAAAAACCCAGTTAAGAAATAGTCACGTACAATTCTTATCAGTAGTGTAGTTGAAAGTTCCAGCTACGTTACGAAAACGCGTGTTGTTTTAAAACTAAAATGATTAGTCGTTCTCCTATTATGTAGTTGTAAGGGATCCTATTGTAAGTACCTAGGTCGTTACTCCACCTACGGCAATCTGATCAAAAAAACTAATAGGTATTGTAGACACAGATAATAGTTTTTTTACACAAATATCATGTTGAATATGGTTGAAAAAGGATTTACGCGGGCTAAGTCGCGGTAAAACAGCTAACTTAAATATAGCAGTAGAACACAATTTTTAACAGCTCCGTTATGATTTTTAAATCTCCGGCAGTGAATTAATGAAGTTAAAGAAAGGAAATTTTCCATTTATTGTTTATAAACTAATTTTTGAAACCCTTTTACTGCCTACATGATTATACATCTACATTTATTAAATTTTTTTTTTAAATAGTAATCTATGGGTATAGCTTATTAATAGATGCTGCAGATATTTTCTGCTAATCTCCATTTGAACAAATCTCTAGGTTAATTAGAATAATTAGGTTAATTAAATAATAAGAATATGTCCGCTTTACAGAAAGAGTAGTTTATTAATTGTTTTGTCTCTAAAATCTGGGCTAGGTTCTGAGTTCTGAATTTTTAACAGTGACCTTATTCAAATCAAGAAGACTATAAATAACATACAATAGACCTATTCATTATAGTTTAGCAAAAATGGCTACCCGCCTTCTCCTTATTTGTGTGGTATTATTTTTTCTAAACTTATTACTTAAGTTAGGTACGTAAGATGATTTACTTATGTCGATTTTCGGTGCGTGCGATTTCTGTTCCTCGTTTTCGTTGATATTTCATTGGCCAATGAGATGAACGCGCCTGCACTCCGCATGCTGATTCCATCAACCTGTGTTAAAAGATCATTATTTTTCTTCTTAGCGGTAGGAAGTGATTCTTGATGATTCGAATCTAAGTTATGTTACAAAGTTGAAATTAGTTAGAACTTACTTTAACAAACATGTTAAAATACCGGTTAAGCAAATATTATATTTGCTAGCATTTGGTTAGATATTATCATTACTTTAACTATTAACTATAACCACCCAAACTTGGCTTCGTTCAAGTTATTGTTTTACTAACAGCCAAGAAAAAGGACTGTGCAATGCATTCCATGGTCAATGACAGTTATTGTTAAATTTAACATAGATCATAACTTTCGAAAATCATCGTCATCTTTCATTCATTTCATTTTTATTTTACATGTAAAAATTAATTTATTTACTTGACATTGGCAGAATTGTGTAAAATGCGCAGATAAGCCATTGAGTAAAAAAAATAAGAAGAAGAACTTTAACGACTAATATGTGAATATTATGTTGCAATACAACCAGATGATTAATATCAAACTTAGGATTTATTGATTCTTTCCCATTTTCTGTTAGTTTTTTTACGCAATAATTATTGAATAGGAAGAGGATTCAACCATTTCTAAATTTTCTTAAACAAAAGGGTGATCCGATCTGGTAGCCGATCTGCCTTGCCTAATGAGATGGTAGAATTTATGTTTAACGATGCTCTCCATTTCTGAGCTGCCTAATAGATAAATCAATTGATACAATTTTTCATGTACTTGCATAATTTCTCTTGATCTAAATCTAAGTAATCGTTTTTAATGAAGAACGGAGGAAAAAACAATTATTAGTTCCAACGCCTTACATTCCGCGTAGGTACTCTTCCAACAGCATGATTCAATAATACGATATCAGACGATTCCCTGTGAGTCGGCAGGTTGCCAACAGACACAAACATTTATTTTTACACTTTAATTTTCTTCTATTCGGGAAGAATGTCGCTTTTAATTCAATTAGGAACGCGACCTTAACTTCTATAATATAAAGTGATTTCGTTTTTCGTTCACAAATTATTGGAACTTACAACTACAATAATTTTAAATGAATCTTGTAAGAGCAAAATTTCCGTACATTCAAATAAAAAAGAATTTTTTAAATTTTAAAACAAAACTTTTAACTTGGTCGCAGATCCTTGTCGGCCAGTCTGCTTCGATATTTTTAAATTGCCTCAATTTTTAAAATTTATATACCTTTGTCAAACAACCTTTACCGTGCATAAAATTTTAATAATATAAACACTCAAATTTCAATAAAATAAATATTAATAACAAATACATTGTTAGATTTGAAACCAAGAAAATCTACATTGACCCGATCTGGAAAAGAACACAAAGATGGTGTCGCCTGGAAACCGACGTGTGTGCTAAAAGCTAATTATAATTTACCGAGTTTTATTTTTATCCCACTTTAATACTGTATAATTTTATTTGAGCTATTTTCATACATTTTTCTGAAATGCTAAATTATTTTATTTTAATCAATTGTCAATTGTAGGCAACTTTTTTTTATCAAAAACGTAATTATTGTTGATAATAATATCCTCCGGCAAACGTATACTACTTTGATTATAGTTACATATACCTATCTAAATTTTAGAGTGGTTGTACAAAATAAATTAAGCGATTATTTTATTAATTTTTCATAAATATTGAGTCAATAATTTAATTATAAAGGAACAAACATTTAAGAAATTTGACTTCCATTGACTTGAATGGGCTCATCATAATCATAATGTACAAAGTTTATATAAAGTAATAAATTATAATATTTTTCCTTTCAGGCTCGGCCGAAAGGGGAAGGCCTAACACCTTACCAAGGCAAGAAGCGCTGCTTTGGCGAATATAAATGTCCAAAGTGTAAGCGCAAATGGATGAGTGGCAACTCCTGGGCAAACAACGGCCAGGAGTGTATCAAATGTAGAATCAACGTTTTCCCACATAAACAGGTAAGCGTCAGAGCTATAAGTCAAATTCTGCCGTTTCACCAAAGTTCACCTATGCTATTTAAAAAACAGCCTCAATTAACTAAAACCTTTATTACCTATTCGAATAGGTTTTATTTGTTTAAACGTAAGTTCAAAACCGAAAAGGAAGATTATTAATAAGAATAATTACTTATATGTGTTACATAATGTGCCATCAAATTCTTACTTAAACGTTGTTGCTTACAGAGACCTCTTGAGAAACCTGACGGACTTGATGTAAGCGATCAGTCCAAGATACACCCACAGCACCTTTGTCAGAAATGTCGCTCCCTGGGCTACTACTGCCGCCGCGAATACTAAACATTAGCTACCAACACGAATGCGAAACGACGAAATATCATTTATATAAAGGTTTATTTTTCCCTCACCTGTGAACACTAAAACGTTTTTTATTGTTAATTATCAAATAAAGGCCGTGAAAATAAGCATCCCGACATTTATTTTTACGACCTTGTCATCAGAGGCCTAAAACGGTAGTTATGTCATTGTTGGTCACTTTAACTAGTTTGTAACTACAGAAACGTTGTAGAAACTGTGTTTATATTGCTACTACATAAGGTCTAATGTCTGCAATTAATTTTGTTATTAAAAAACAACTGATGAAGATTTAAAAAGGATTTGATAAATTTTACTTTTGCTAATAATCTGTTATGCTAATCTGTAATTAAATCAGCCTTGAACTCGACTTCGAGCACAGCGCTGTTACATCACAGCAATTTACTGTAATAAAACCTTAATTATCTAATTAAGTAGATTTCATTTGATCGAACCTCTATGCTGCGACAGCGTCCTGTTTGACTTCGTGTTCAAAGGTGTTTTCACTACAGACTATTACAGCCGATGTGCCCTCAAGTGACACAAAATTTTGTGTCCAAGGTATATTTTAGGTTTATAAAGGAAGTTAATTTTTACGATTTTGAAACGTGCCTCCTTATAATATCTATAATAGGCCTCCTATATAGATCGTTTCATGTCGTTCACTACGAGTATGTAATAGTGCTTTAATGAGGAATGCATTCGCTTGTCGCAGTCGTAGCTCTGTTAACTTCCAATAAAAGCTCTCAATTTCCATCCACTTATCTTATTTCCGCACCATGCATGATCTTAATATTAGTAATTAAATTTAAAAATTGTTGTTTATTAAACTTTAGTATCTTAAAACATGTTACTTAGATTTAATTTTATATTCGTACATAAAAGATAGAAAAAAACTTTATTTAAAGTTTATTTTGTAAGTTAGATATACGTATAATTAGATGTACATTTCGAGAAGAAACATTGTTTTTTTTTTTGTTCAGTATAACTTTATATAAAGAGATATTGAAGGTTTCCTTGTGATTTTATACTCCAAATGGCATTAAAGTTACTTATGAATGTTATATGTATATTTAGGTGATAAGGCGTTTTTTATGTTGTGTATCAAGTTATATAGTAATTGTATTATTGTTTTGAATAGGCTTTTTCCCAAATAATAAATGTTAATAATGTTGCTTTTTAACTATCTGATATATTATCAATTAGTCTATTCATGAGGCAGGCGAAAAACAGACATGTACTACGTGAACGTTGATAGTAAACGATATGTATTACTCTCCATAGAACTATGTACTGTTTGTTGACGCGGAGTACCGAAAATAAATAATTCTTTATTCAAATAAGCTAATTAAAACAATTTCAGATCGTCCAACATTTTTCTCCCTGCCAATCCTTTAGGACGCCCTTTGTCTGACAATAGTCTAAAGATCCTTATCAGAAATAACGACATTTATTTATATCAATTATATCATTACGAAAATAGTATGTATCATAATAATAATAAAAACAATATCATTATCTGTTGGACATAGAATAGATACATATAATTGTTATATCTCAATACGTATCTCTCAATAATAATGTACGTAAGAAAATCTTATGATTTGTTTATAAAAATAGTGTTTATAATTTTAACACAAGAAATAAAAATAAGCGCCTAAGGGTATTTACCCTAATGAAAACAGTAAATAAATTTAATCTTACATACATATAATATCTTCATAGAAGTATAGAGAGTCAACATCAATTTCTTTAAATATTTATAAGAAAAGAGATTATCTCTTCTCTAGTATATAGCGTGGACTGCTCTCTTTTGTAGTATAAAAACGGCTTATTGTTTTACGGAGTGGACCTGTACAACAAAACTCAGGACTTCGTGAAAAAAATGTGGAGTTATATGGATACCGATACGTACCGTTTACTTTCAACGCTAACATAATACTTGGGGCCAATATCCATATTTACCTGCCCTAGGAATAGTTAATAGATGTTATTAATTTTATGGCAATTGGCTGTTGGCACATACTAGCATAGCTTTAGATTGCAAAGATGATAGGAATAAACTTACTTTATTTTAGATATTTCATTTAAACCACAGCAAAATAGCTTTTTAGTTTAGTTTAAAAAATAGAACTGAGAACTTTACGACTTAAAAAAAAATAGCTATTGAGATTTCATACACACGGCACATTTCCTGCACGCTTTTTGCAAATAAATTCTGTGTGAACGGGGGTTACTTCACTTAAATTCAGTAATTTGATAACTGTTATTAGAATTATAATATTTACGTTATAGTGTCTTAATAGATTTTCAACATGTAACTAGACTTATATTATTAGATATGTAATGTTATTAATTTTAAGGTGAAACCAAGAATTAGAAACTAGCACTTGTATATCAAAAGATCCAGTGAATTCTCTACGTGCCAAATTGCTTAGTTTTTATATGATACAATAGGTTGGGGAAAAATTTTCTTCGCATTTTATATGAAAATTCAAAACATTTTTTAATATAGTTTATTTACAATTAACTTAAGTATGTAGGTACCATTTTGTTCGATGACTTTTTGTCATCTTGTAGGTAGGGACACGATCTCATTAAATTTTGGGGCTTCTAATCAAAAATCCGCGGCAAGTGGTGGCATGATGCTAACCTGACACTACCTAAACAATTCTGAAGAGACCGAAGCAGGTGTAAATCTGAAAGTGCAAGGTCAGTAATATAGGGCGGATGCATTAACTCCTACCAGCTAAATTCTCTTAATTTTTCCTGAGTGGCAAAATATGTATGTGTGAGGTCTAGCGTTATCATGGTGAAAAACCACACCCCTTATATTGATTAATTCTGGCCGATTTCTCTCAATTCCTTACTTTAATCCCATCAGTTGTTTGCAGTGGAATCGAGGTTCTGCCTGGCAGTAAAAGCTCATAATGAATAATGCCCTTCCAATCCCACCATACACACGCCTTGTATCGCCTTGCTGCGAGTTTGCCCTGGTTTTGACCACGGCCTTTTTCGCACGTTCTTATCGTACGTGATCCACTTTTTGTTACCAGTTATCAGTTTCTTTAAAAATGGTTCGATTGCATTATGCCGTAATAAAGAACCACATATGAATACATGGTTCATTAGGTTTCTTTCAGTGAGCTCGTACGGTACACAAATATCCAATTTTTTTGTATACCCAGCTTTTTTCAAATGCGCCAAAATTGTTTTCTGGTCAATCACCAGTTCTTCAGCTACGTCGTAACGACTGATATGCCAATCTTGGTCCAATTTTTCAAAAAGGGCAACCGGAGCGACGTGCATCTTTGACATCAAAATTTCCGGACTGAAAACGGTTATACCAAATTTTGCTACTCTCACAGAAACTGTACTAGGTCCACAAACTTCACAATATTTTTCATTTTGCATTTCATTTCACCGTTGCATTTCACCGTTTTTGTAATAAAGTTTTAAAATATATCTAAATTCTTCATTATATTCACTCATTTTGACAGTAAGAAAACAAATGAAAATTAAACATTTTCATAATTCGAATGCGGAGTTATCTTCTTTAAAATTTAAACTTTTTAATTATATCGAAACTAGCTAGAATTGGTATTACCAGAAAGATTTTATAACAAGTTTATGCATACTATGTGCGAAAAGGCTTTTTCCCCAACCTAATACTCTTTTATTATACCTTTTTATAAAGTGCCATAAATTTATTGCAGTTTTAAACTGTTATTTTAGGTTTTCTATATGTTAAATGAATTTGCAATTGGCAAATTTCTATGTTATCTTCGGAAATTATGTTATCAACGCAATTTTATTTACAACATGGGTTGCTTATTAAATTTTTTGAAGATTGTGATTATCTCTATATATCAAGTTTAACGAAATCGACAAAAAATGTCAGACGTTTTTTAAATATAGTAATAATTTGTATTAGTTATCCATAATTTTGTAATCAAAACCATTTAAATATTTACTGATTTAATTAATAGCGCATCATAACAATGATAATTTTCATGAACAAATAAACCAAAGAAAGTAATTCCTTTTTATTTTTAGGTGGTAAGGAGATACATTTAATATAAGTATCTACTGTTATTGTTTTTATCATAAAAACCGACAATACTTATATGTAATGAAAACTACTATGGTGCCATTGAAGCCAAAGTTTAAAGTATCAAATAAAAAAAAAACATATTTTATATAAACAAAGTACTTTAGTAAATATTATCGCTGAATCGACGGTGCTTGTAATGTTTAAATCCTTCGTTTTGTGTGCTTGTATATTTTCAGTGTTTGAATATATTATTAAATAAATCTATATTGATAAAAATCAATTTTAAATGATAAAATTCCGTCATATTTAGCGAATAATAATTTTAATACAAAAAAGGTCCTTTCAAACCATTGCTATGATATTACCAAAGATGCTCCCAAACATGGTAAAATTTTACAAATAAAAATTTTCTACTTTTTTTTATTACTTATATTAAATCGATTCTTATAGTTTTAACTTTAAGATTGACATTTACTGACAAGCTGCACAACAGATTACTAGAAATAGTACTTAATTTCTTACAGTCAATTTTGAGCGCACATTATTGCATAAAGCTGCGGCCTAAAATCAAAAGCTATCGTTTTGCAAAATTTATGTTATGTTTCTTTTTTTGTCCTGTCATTCCTTTACATTTCTTTTACTAAATAAAAATATAAAGAAAAGACTTACTTCTTCTACGAACTTATAAATAAATAAGAAGAAGAAGCACAGTAAGTTCTGATTAATATTACGTATGCTTGCACAGGGCAGATCCAGCAATTCCGACAATGACCGTACGATTAAAATAATAGTTACATTATTAATTAATAGTTACATACGACCGTTACATCAATCTACTGGAAAAAATTGAGACTTTTGGATAATCTGATGTGCTGTTGACCGTACGAAAATTAATTTTCATAAAACTAATTTAGTGATGAACACCCAGTTGCACGAACGCCCATTATGGTTTACTGGCGACTTTAAGCTCTAATGAAAATGCTAAGTTTGAAAATTTTAATTGGTATGTATTATCATACCAATTTAAATTTTAAATAGAATAGTATTATCTCATACTTATATTGAGATTAAAATAAGTACTTATTGTCAGTTTATTACTATGATTATTGATGAACATATTATTGTCATTTGTTACTTAATAGTTTTATATGACGCATATTTTCAAATAAATATTTAAGGTTTTAAATTAAACTTGTTTTATTTGATCTAATAATTTGCTTTCAAAAATACTAAGGTTCACATTAAAATAGAGGGTTCAGTATTAGTTTAAATTAAAAATATTGTTGAAAGTTGATTTTTCGACGTTACTACCAGAATTCATAGTTAATACCGACTGTCTGAAGGTCTTACTAAAAGTTTCTTATCAGCATTCCATGTCAAGTAAATCAAGGTTTAATATTAAAGATATAAAAAACAAAATATCAATTGCATAAAATCCTTATAATTCAATAAAATAAATTCTTTTCTTTTAATACATAAAAGAGAAATATGTATGTCTCAGAACTAAAATTTCAATGAAGATATCCTGGCATAACACGGATTCTATGAGGTCTAAAAGAATTCTCATAGTAAGCACCTATAAATTCGTTACCATCCCCATCTTCGTGGTTTAAAGATCTCTTTTCGAAATGATGTTCATCAGATTCTTCGACTTCACTACCAGGTTCCTGTGCAGCTTTGCAGAGAATTACTGACAAACACACAACAAAGAAAACAGCTGTTATCTTAAACGCCGCCATTTTGGATATTTTCCTTTACTTCGATCGTTTCTGGTCTTCTAGTCTTGCTGTTCTTTAGTCTATGCACTTTTGTTTTTGATTCCACGCTTATATATCAATCTGATGTTTTCGTTTGAAATAAAACATGATGTTAAAAAGATTGTTTATTTATTTCCAATGTGCGTCGATCCAGTATTATCGCCAGTTTAGAACAATTATCGAGTTTTGAATAAGTAAATGTTGACGATGCAAGTTTATGTGAGTGCAACACGTTTTTATGATTAATTTTTATTTGTTTATTTTCCAGTAAAGTCGAACCACTTCAAATTTTAGAATTTATTGTTAATACTTTGAATATTTAAAATCAAAAAGGCGTCATTAAGAATTAAGAAGAACATAGTTTCGGAATGATTAATGTGCTGTTGAAAAGCCCTTACTTATAAAATTTATTATGTTTAGAGGTAGGTAACTTTAAACCTACATGATGTAGTCGAGTTACAACTATGTGAGCTTATAACTATGTGATAGCTAAAACTAACTGTTACAAGCAAAGAAAATCCTTTAACAATAATGAAGAAATAAAAACCGAGTTGACCTGGAACACTCCATAGAAGCATGTTCCGTTGGTTCGGACATGTTTAAAGAATATCGAATGACTCATAAAACTGATATACCTACATATACATATATCAATACGCTATCACGCAGCGAAAGGATGTAAAAGTCTTGAAAAGATATCAGAACATGTACTTGCGAAAAGGGTAGGAGGAGGAGAAAGATCTTAGTACGTTTGGACAGTACCTTGTGGCACTCAATCATCTGTGCCTACCTAAGGGTAAGGGATACGCTGTGTGAAGATATATAAACAAGCAACTTTACTATTATTGCTTTTATCTATACCTATATAAAAGGAGATGTCCTGACTTACTGACTGACAGACAACGCACAGCCTAAACCGCTGGTCGTAGAAACTTAAAATTTGGAGGGAATATTCCCCTTAATACGGAGAGGTGTACTAAGAACGGATTTTTGGAAATTCCATCCGGAAGGGGGTCAAAAAGGGTGAAAAAGTTTGTATGAAACTTCTTTGTTTATAGACCTATCTTGATGAAAATTGATATTTGGGTAGTTAATGAGCTTAGGAAGGTAATAGGTTATATTTTATCCCGAAAACTAGCACTTAAAGGGATATAAATGGGAGTGCAACATTTTATGGGGTATCAAAATGTTACCATAGCAACCATTGTTTACAATCTGATTTGTCATTGTAATAAATTTACCTATTATTATTTACAAAATGTTTTATTGTATAGCGATTAGAATTGGTATTTGAGTAAAATTTCTTTTTATTTAATGGATTTAAATGTTCGAATTCAAGTAATTTTGTTAAAAAAAAATGTTTTTATATCATATTTATAGGAACTACACTAGATGGCGTTAAATGAATTCTAAATCGCAGTTTTTTTTTGCTAGAGAATTTACCTAGAATAATTTTTCAGTCAGCTGATGGCGAGTATATTCTAAATCGAGCTATTATTTTTATCAAAAAACTTCGCGCAGGCTTTAAATGAAAAATATTAAAATGTTGCTCCAAGTTTAGATTAAAGCAATTGCAATTATTTGTGTTTTTCGTTTCATCAGTAATTAATATATTGAGTATAAATATTGCTAGATTTAACCCAAGATTTTCAAGATGATAATTTTCACAAATCCTATTTTATTACATTTGTTAATTCATATTATGTAATCAGTTAATTACCTTAGTATAGGTTTTCAAGTATATATGTCGTGGCCAGATCGTAGAATTCACCAATATTCATGATGCGGCCAACCATTTCATGAAATGTTTGTTTATGTATATCATGAAATGGAAAAATATTGCTGTCCACATCATATTGTGGCCTGGCCAGATTAATGAAAGATTTGCGTATAACGATATGAGCGGCTGATAGTACAACTTCTTCATTATGTGGCCAAGAGTAAGTAAGTACTCATATCGTAAAATAGTTACGCAAGTCTCACTAAGAGGCGCTGATGTCGCATTGTTTTTGTAATACTTTATTTTAATTTTTAGGTTATACAACAAATTAAAGAAAGTAAGGTACCAAGTAGCAACGGAAAACAATTACTTGATTAAGTTTAGTAAGATAAATGTAGGAGTGCAGTGCGAAGGTACAGCAGGAAAGGCTATTTCTATAGTTTTATGGATATGTCGCAGGTTATGATAAAGACATGATCGTGACCTAGCTCCAGAGGATGATAAAAATATATATTGGAGGATATAAAAGTTTTTGAGACATAAACTGAAATTAAGACAATCACGAAGCGTAGCGTAGCGATCGCATTAAAAATTTCGAGGTTTTTTTTACAGACCACATAAATCATAACTCTAACGAATAAACAAGCTATTTCAGCAAATTATTAGATTCCTTTTTTGGAAAGCTTATATTATACATACTGTACTAAATGATAAATATTACCTAAGTAATTTATTTAAAAAATATATGTTACACTGTAAATAGAAATATTATTTCATTTTATGGGTAATTAAAATGTTACCATGGCAACCATTGTTTACAATCTGATTTGTCTTTGTAATAAATTTTCCTAATATTATTAACAAAATGTTTTATTAGTATAGCGATTAAAATTGATATTTCAGTATATAATTGATAACAAAAATTATATTAGAAATAAATAATTATGAAAATAGTCAAGTACAAATAATTTTATGTACGAAAGAAAACGCAATCTAGACATTTTGTGCCATACTAGTATACTACTGGCGTTAAGTATACTACGAGTACATCGCACTGTTTTGGTTCAAGTTTTCAAATAAAATTAAGTACTTAAGAATTTTAAGCTTTGCTATACGGATGAGTAACTCTGCAGTGTGGTGAATAAGCGCCTCGATCGTTGTTGTTAAGCAAGTTTAAGAAGAGTCGGTCAAGGGACGGGTGACCAAAAATTGACTATCATGAGCTATTCCGTGATTTGGAAGGTATGTTATGCAGTTAGTCTCGGCTGCATTTGCAGTCATTATTGCCCTCTAATCCGCATTGGGCCAGCGTGGAGGCTCATGGCCCATCTTACTCAACCAATCCATAAGGAATACCTGAGCCCTTGCAGTGGGGCTTATGATGGTGATGGGGTTTAACCTCAACTAAACTGCGTAGTCGTTTTGTTAAAAAAAAGTTGCGTATTTTTGGTTTTCTATTTAGTTTTGTGTGGACATCAGATTCGCGTTTTTCTTTCTCTTTCTCCATTTACCCAGTTGTCTGCGACGTATTCATTATAATATTAACAATTTAAAATTTCAATTTGAATTTTAACAGCTGTGTGTTTAAACATTGACCAAAGAATCGTGATTTATTTAATTTTTATAGCATATTTATTTCGGTAACTGTCTGGTAATCTCTTATTATATGAAGTAATGAGCGACAAGGGGAATCATTAAATTATTCCATACATTTATTATACATGCGAAATAAATCTGTATTTATGTCACTTACGCTCTCATGTCTAACCCTCTAAACAGAGTCGACTTGAGATAGGACATACTTAGGTTTATTTTTGAGTTAAAAGAGTTGAAATATGGAATTAAAGTTTGTCATTGTCAAAGACAACACCATGAAACTTTATTTCAAGTATTCTACATGATATAATGATTGAATATTCGTTTTAGAACTGCTGCCCAAAGTAACTATACCACGCGGACGAAGTCGCGGGCAAAAGCTAGTAAAATATAATATACATTATTTAACACCAATTTAATCGATGCAAATGTTTATCTCTTCTTAGTTCAATGTGATAATTGGAACGAGCAAACAAGTGCGTGATGCATGATTACTAAAGTAAATAATTACACTATGAACCTTACATTATTTGTTGTACAAATAATGTGGTTATAAATCTCTATTGCTCCATCTTATTATATATGTTTTGGTGACGTCACAGTGGATTACTTACAGTGAGGTAAAGGAAATAAAACAGAACTATGTAGATTCTTCTAGATTATTATTATAAATGAATGTTACAAGACCGTACCGTACCATACCTACAATATGTATATGTAATACATGACAATCATATAATAAGATCTAATATATAAAGCGATGTTTTTGTTGTTATGAAATTAAAAGCAAGGGGAACTAGCCCATATACCTAGCCTATAACGGCGTTTCGAAGTTTCAATAGTTCTTTGGTGTTTTATGAACCAGTAACCAAACATGCAATAGGACGTCAGTGAAGACAAGAATATTTTTTCTAAACAATCTGATAATCGTTCTTATTATGTGCGTTTTGTCAATAATAAACGAAAATCAAATCTCCTACCAAAGTTTTATATAATAGCATATAATAGCCCCCGGTGTGAAAACACAATAATTTAGGGTCATAGACGTAACAAACCACACTACATATAAAATATTATTAAGATGGTAGCACAACTAGTTTGCGGACAGGACGACATATAATTCCAGCCTTAGTGGCCACTTTTATTACTCGGACTACGCCGTCCTTGCTCGGAAACGTTGGGGTAACCCGCCCCCGTGGCCAGACTCCACGTGGGAGGTTACCGTCTTCGACCTCAATATTCCTGGTGGAAGCGGAGATGCTGCGATGTATTAATGCTGGTAGATATTCGCGAATCCAACGTGACCAAAAATGATCCGCCAATCGCAATCCTCGTTTCCATTTTACACGGCGAATCATGTCAGCGTCGTCCACCTGAGCTAACGCGGAGTAAGGTGAAGAAGAGCCAAGTAAAAAATGAAAAGGTGTAATAGACTCTTCATCATCAGGGTCGACACTAACATGGGTGTCGGACAACATGTCAGTAACAGAGGACGCGAGTTAACTAAGCTCTCCGCTTCCAACATGAAGGTATCGAGGACTTCCTCGGAAGGAATGTTACGTCAGGGTTACCGAGAGAGCGGTCTTGATACTTCGTACCAAGCGCTCCCAGCATCCTCCCATGAAAGGAGCCGAGGGGGGATGAACTTCTACTTGATTTTTAGGTTGGTTGCAAATTCGAGAACTAGCTTTGCGTACAGGATCTCCAACTCCCTGCTTGCTCCAACAAAGGCCGTGCTGTTGTCGCTAAAAAGTGAGACCGATGTTCCTCGTCGCGCAATAAATTTCCTTATGCCATTATTGCGGCATCGGTACTTAGGTTTCCAACTACTTCTA